ACTATAAAATCAAAGGTATAAGGTTCCCATTCCACTAATACGGCGCTCTCACGGCGCTCTCTCTGAGACCTAAAATTGGTCGGAGCGCGTAAAGAACGCTAGGAGAACGCCGATTTGCCATTGTGCGCGCTCAGAACGCTCTCTCTGCGCTTATTGTTGTGTCGCCGTCCTTGTCGCTCTCAGGGCGAAGGTATGAACCGAGGTGACGGCGCTCATGGCGTTCTCATGACGCTCTCGTCGTGCTGCCATGGCTACCTCTCCGCTCAGGCCAATTTCAGGTCGCAGAGAGAGCGCAATGAGAGCAAGGTGTAAGTCAGATGCATGTGCTTGTAAAATGTTTGACGCATGTGTCGCTGACCACGTTTGGCACGCCTAACTTCTGATCATTTGCCTAATCCTATCCCAGAATTGTAATTGGTCAGATGGTATGGTATACAGGATTTTTAATGCGCGATGTTGGATTACAGTGAATGTCCGTTATATAAACATGCCAACATGCTGGTACTTTATCAGTTTACCCGCCTAGATTCATATGGTAATTATTATGACGTCAATAAAAATCCATTATAACCGTGTTTTTTTTCTTCTACAAATACTTGGTTATATACAATAATATAGTAATATACTTCAATTCACCTTCAACTCACTTTAGTGTTGTCCGAAAACAAAAGCAATTAACGGTGTAAAGAAAAATAAAGTTTACTGTTGACGATAACACCTATTTTCTCCTATAACAGAATGCCATTCCAGCATTCATTCCAAAACAGCCATGACTCATAAATATGTAGTGTACTGTACCCTCGTTCCGAGAATTTTTAGGCTATATTAAAGGCGTCCTTAGCTTGACAGGATATACTCGGGCCGGAGGTGTGTTAGAATCGTCGGATGTTCTGTTGTAACATCGCCTCAGTCCTTAGCTTGACAGGATATATTCAGGGGTGTGGTTAGAATCGTCGGATGTTCTGTTGTAACATAGGTTCAGTCCTTAGCTTGACAGGATATATTCAGGATGTGGTTAGAATCGTTGGACGTTCTGTTGTAACATCGCCTCAGTCCTTAGCTTGACAGGATATATTCAGGGTGTGGTTAGAATCGTCGGATGTTCTGTTGTAACATAGGTTCAGTCCTTAGCTTGACAGGATATATTCAGGGTGTGGTTAGAATCGTCGGATGTTCTGTTGTAACATCGCCTCAGTCCTTAGCTTGACAGGATATATTCAGGATGTGGTTAGAATCGTTGGACGTTCTGTTGTAACATCCGCATCGCCCAGTCCTGCTGTCGGAGCTTACTACCTGATCGGCCCAGCCGGATCCAGGTGTTGCGAGATGAGGAGCCGACCTGGCGCTGTTTGGTTCTTTTGCTGGCTACAAGGTGTCAGTGGTAGGGACTATACTTTTTTATGTAATAAACACGGATATAAGTCCATAGCCGTTAAAGCCAAAGGTGCTAATAGTTGTTGAAAATTCTAGATGCAGAGGTATTGCGTTCTAGTCGGTACAATTTTGAGACAGGAAATAACTTTACCCGTGCTCACATCTAATCGGTTTGAATCCGTCGTCACCCAGTCTGGACACTCTTTTATGTCATACCTGGGACCCGATTACGTTCGAAAGGGGTGTTCCTGCCTGTTTGCTAACTAGCTGTACGATCCGGGCTTCCAAATGTTCCAGAGAATAATTCAGTGTATATAAATGTTAATTGTACTTTTTTGTTTGTTTTGTGGCGCTGTTAATATAGGTTATAAGGTTGGGTGCAGCGCCACACTGTCTTTGTTATGTTTTGATGTCTTGATGAATAAAAAAAAAATGATAATCCAAACACGTTTTGCGCGCACCAGGACCCATTGTGCTACTTTCAGAACTTCGACCAGCGAATTCGGATGTGGCAATTGACACCGTTACACTTTTTGTTTAGATACACCAAAGCAATGAACTGTGATAAGGAAACAAGAATCCACCGTTAACAAAAAGTTCTCATACCGTACACTTTTAGGGGATAGCATTATTTTGAGGTGTTTTCAAGTCCAACGAAGCCTTCGTCATTATGAAGTACATCTAATTGTCCCCCATGCGTTTTATAGAAATTCACGCAATCCACTTTTAAAATGCTGTGTGAGTTAAATAAAAAGTCACTGTTACCGACATTGACAATACTAACGTCACAATTCTGTATATTATTCTTATTCAATGACCATTTTAACATTCATTCCAAAAGAGTAAAGACTCAAAGGCGTGTGTTGTACGCACAAACAGCTACCGTAAATGGGTTGACTTGGCGCTGTTTCGATCTTCTGATGGCTACAAATAGTTATAATTAGGGACTGTATTTTAATGGGCATTGAAGATACAAAACATATAGTAATTAATAACTTTTAAAAATGAGTTTATAGGTTTAGCCAGTCGATCGAAGCACGATTTTGAATGAGCTAACAGTTTTTCCAGGCTTCTTCAGAGCTCATATTTATGTGCTCTGTTGTGTCATCAATAAGTCAGAAAAATATTATATATAGTCATTTGATCCTATTGATACAACCATTGCAGTTGACGGGATTTATATGGTTTCTACGCAACTCTTAGTTTCCAAGCCTGTGAATCGTTTAAATAGAATACTGACAGTTGCAGAATGCAGAAAAGACTAAAATTAAGCCAGGTCTATATATATGCCTCGATATTAATTAACACCGTGCTTACCAACAACTACGTATACGTAACTTACACAACGTGTTTCTGTAATGACGTCTGGGTTAATGCCATTTCCGTTCACAATATTTTTTTTTTATCTTCTGGTAATCTCATGGAACAGTTCAGTTGGCGTATTGAAAATGAGGGATATGCTCTCTGCTACCCGTTCTTTCAAGCTGTTTACGTTAAAACCTCTGTCGGCGTGTTGGCGTGTAGTGTATAAGGGTTTTCATACCTTTTTCTTCAAGCGCTACTTAACGTACCCGGCCAGCTGATACACATTTTACAGGCAAGGTAATACACATTTTGGTAAAAAATTACCGTTTATTTCATGAACCTACGCGCAGGTGCTAACAACACCTATCATTATTATATTTTACAAGATGAGAGCCAAGTCCATACAAGTTATTTATCCTCGAGGCTAATTTGCTTAAAGTGAGTACATGTATATTGTTTTGTTTTTATGTCAAAAACACAAGAAACAGCTACTTTCTCAATCTTGTAATCATGTCATGGAACAGTTTATAATTAGCAGGCGTATTGAAGGCAGTTATTTCTGGGACTTTTCTCTGTCATGCTGTTTATGTGAGCCTCTGTCCGTGACGGTACTGTCGTAGTGTAGTGATGTGTGAGGGCATTCATACATGTTTCTTTAAGCGTAGTTGTTTTCATTTAACGCTAAACGTACCCGGTCGGCTGATAGGCAAGGTTAAGCGTTGACGGTAAGCTATGTCTTAAGGATAATGGTCGTAAACGTGCTACAGATTTAATTCTCTGATTAATCAGAGCTCATCATTAAGTTACCTGTCTAACTCTCATGTTACTTTGAAATTTGGTTAAAATTGAATTAATAAAAACGTAGTATTTTAGAAAAAGAACAATGACCTCTGTTGGTACGTTCTCTGTTGTTGTCCCTCCTTAAATACGTCCTAATATCAACAAGGGGGTGTTTTTTTTTTTCGATAAATTATGCTACAATAAATACACATAGTTTACGCGTTTGTAAAGCGATATCAATATTATTTCCCCCCTGCTGAACCACATCTGGGAACTTGGATTACGCAATGTTCCTACACTTTCAATCACCATACACATTTTTGGAAAACGGTATTTGTGCATTCAGAAATCGGAAATTTGTTGATATGTGTAAGTTTATACATTTCTTTAGTTACAAGACTTGACCTTTGGCCAATTGATACAGCAAAACGAGGGAAGTATTTCTCAATTTGCCCATCGAGGCCCTTCATCAAGACATCGCAACAGCCCCCTGGGATATAAATCTCATCTTCGACTCTATGGATGACATATGGGACTCTTGGTACAGCATGTTTATTGCCATATGCGAACGGCACATTCCTCTCAAGCTTATCTCGACTACCCGGACAGCTAAGCCGTGGATATACTCCAATAAACAAATCCGAGCCGCTATCCGTAGAAAACACCGCCTGCACTCCAGGGCAAAACGGCTGAACACCGAGGACGCCTGGGCCACTTACAGAAGACAAAGAAATCTTGTGACCAATCTCACAAGAAGGGCGGAGACAGTATAGATTGAGGATCTCGTGAACGACGTGGAGACCGGCAACACCAGACGGTTCTTCACTTATGCCAAATCTGCACTTGGAAAGACCTCAACAGGCATCCCGGCCCTTCAAGTCGACTCGGTAATACTAGAAACCCCGGAAGCGAAGGCCAATGCTCTGAACGATTTCTTTATCAAACAAACAGACCTTCCTGGCAGAAGCGATCCAATCCCGACGTTCCAACCTACCACTGTTCCCGAATCTGTTCTAGACTCGCTTCAGTTGTCAGAGGAAGAGGTACGCCAACAACTGCGCACCCTGCAAGTCGGAAAGTCAGGTGGTCATGACAAGATCACTCCGAGGCTATTACGCCTAGTTTCCGACCTGATATCAGTTCCTCTAACTCGTCTGTATAATAAATCTCTCCTTCTTGGCCAAGTTCCTACAGAATGGAAAAAGGCTAACGTAACACCCATTCACAAAGCTGGTAACCGCCACCTCACAAACAACTACAGGCCCATATCCTTGCTTAGCACAGTCTCAAAAGTTCTAGAGACACTTGTTAACAAACGTTTAACGGCTCATGTCAACCGGATATTAGCTGACAACCAAAGCGGGTTTCGACCACTTGACAATACAACCCTCCAGCTGACTCGACTGGTAGAGGAGTGGACTGATGCAATGGATAAAGGAGAAATAGTCGGCTGTGTATTTCTAGACCTTGGGAAAGCCTTTGATAAGGTTTGGCACGCAGGACTTCTGTCCAAACTAAAATCATATGGAATCAGTGGACTTATGCATGACTGGTTCTCCAGTTACCTCTCGGACAGAAAACAACGAGTGGTCATCCAGGGTGCAACGTCTACATGGAAGTCCCCACTAGCCGGAGTACCGCAAGGTTCCGTCCTTGGACCAACGCTTTTCATTCTTTACATCAATGACCTTGCCACCAGCCGTACACATTGTCTGGCCAACTTATTTGCCGACGACACATCTCTGTCATTCTCCCATCATTCTGTTCAACGCGTAGTTGCAACACTGAACCGAGAGTTGAGTACTGTGTCGACCTGGCTTTCTACATGGAAACTAGAAGCTAACATAGACAAGTGCAAAGTCATGTTCATTACAACTCGTACTCTACCACAACCGATTCCCCCTGTGACCCTAGGAGGAACTGTACTGCAAGTTGTCACCAGCCACAAACACTTAGGCGTCACTCTCACGAATACCCTGTCCTGGTCACAGCACATCGAGGTCATCTCTAACAAAGCAAGACGTTCTTCAGGACTGTTATGTGCCCTAAGAAGGAAAATTCCCCAAAACTTACTGCTCCGGCTGTACATCACCATTACAAGACCTACGTTAGAGTACGCGGATATTGTCTGGGCTGGCCTCACTTTACGTGACCAAAGGACTTTAGAATCTGTTCAGTACCAAACAGCCAGGCTTATCAGTGGTCACTTTGGGATCCCATACCCTTCCTACAATAGTCTCTACACAGAACTGTCTCTACCATCTCTCCAGTTTCGACGCAAGTTTCACACTGCAGTAACCATGTACAAACTGTTGAACGGTCGCTGTCCTCCACACCTGCAAAGTCTGCTACCTCGAGCGCGAGCGTCCGCCACAGAATCCCGGTATCCCTTACGGAATAGTGAACACTTATCCATACCCGTTTGTAGAACCACCAGATCCCAGAGAACATTTGTAATCAGAGCTATAACTATCTGGAATACTCTCCCTAGCGAAACTCGAACAGCCCGCTCCATCAGCTCCTTTAAAAAGAAACTATGGACAATACTTGATAAATACTTGATGACAACTACTTAGTAAATAGCTCAATAGAATAATATTGTATTGACAATGTAAATATAGTGCACAACATCTGTTATGTAATAGTATATTAACCTGACATATAAATGTAATTGTAGTAAACGCACGACGACCAGGCCGGATATTCTAGCTTGTTAACGCTTGGCCACAACATCTGTTATGTAGTAGTACCGGTAGTATGTCTATCTGAATTGTAACTGACACTGTTAACTGTTCCGAATTGTTTATGTTATTATTGTGAGGGCTAGCCCTTTATAATAGCCTCCGGCTAGTTGGGCAGTCCTGGCTGCATACATATGTGTTATCAGCCTAATAAATCAAATCAAATCAAATCAATTTGCCCAGTCGATTATAATAATGATGTAATTTCTTTTCTTTCATTAGTAACGCAGGGCAATGCAGCTGGATGTGGAGGAAACCTGACGACTCCCACTGGAGGTCCTGTGACATCAACAAACTACCCCAGTAACTATGGCAACAATGAGAACTGCGAGTGGTTAATCACTGTACCAGAAGGAAGCATCATTCGTCTCACGTTCGACAGTTTTAATACTGAGGGCTGTTGTGACTTCCTGACCATCTACGACGGAGCCAGTGACAGCGCTGCAGTGATACAAACGTAATGTTTTAACACAAATTACACACGCATATTACACTTTAACATATAACTACTGTTAGTAAATGTTATGGTCAATACCTGTATCCTAGGTTAAGAAAAAGAAACGAATAAAAAGAATACGATGTAAAATACTGTATGTCTAACATATATTGTTTATTTCGTGATGTCCAGGTTAACAGGTCAACAGTCAGTCAGCCCTATCATCAGCACATCTAACTCCATGTTCCTGAGGTTTACATCTGACCACAGTATAACACGTCAGGGGTTCCAGTTCTCCTACACATCTCTCACGTCAAATGAAACAAGTAAGATAAGTGTAATGATAATAAAAATAAGTTTAAATATACATAATTAGAAAATAAAAATGAAAAAAAAATTAGAACAATAAAAGTAACTAGAAAGGCCAATATTTGCAAATGTAGAATATTTCACTCCATGTTTCTCCCCTAACAAAACTGGACGATTCCAAATAAATGATACCGCAATTATCTAATTGTGAGCAGGGATACAATGACAAGCACTTTGACTCTCGACAGCTTTATCTTAAAATTGCCACTCGACAATTGTCGCTCAATTTTTTAAAGACACAAGGGCGAGCACTTTGAATCTCAACAGCTTTACTTTACACTTATCTTAATCTTATATATTGAAGGTATTTAAATACTACTAATGACGATATTGTACCTACTCTGAAGCTCTAGTTGCACAGAATTGGAGGCTATACCGACATTATCTATATATACTTTGAAACCATACAAACATATTGAAAAAAAAACCCAAACACGACTTACAAATACTAGGAGCCTGTGCATATATATTGATTATGCTATACACTAGGCCAATTTGATTTGATTATATGTCAGCTGCAATCCCTGCCCCCTTCCTCTATCGACAAAACTGGTAAATTTTATGACATAACCAATATATGTTTGCTCAGTTTGCAGATGGTTTGCATAATTGTCGTAAACGTATTTTGGAAATGAACAAAAATCTATTCGCGCACAGCTGTCATCCATATAATCAAATCAACACGGCAATTACACATCAATTACAATCTACTAGAAAACTTCCTAAGTAAATAACTAGAAAGGCCAACATTTGCTTCGGAGCAAATATAATCTCCTCCCCCCAAAAAATAGAAGATTCTAAATAAATTATACTGCAATTATACAAGGACAAGCGCTTTGAATCCTAACAGCTTTATTTTAAAAAAATGGCACTTGACAATTAACTCCTTTTTTTACAAAGATACAAGGACAAACACTTTAAATCTCGACAGCTTTACTTTAAAAA